TTCCTTGTCATGGCCCTCATCAAAACAATGAGCCAATAAGTGAGAGGACAAGAGAGAGTGAGAGCAAGTTGAAAGTCAGTCTTGAGTGTGTACACCTAAGAGTCACATGGCTAGGTCATAGGTATGTGTGTCATCAACTCTAATAGATACTGTCAAACTGTTATCCTGAGTGGTTGTATTATATTACACTCCCGCCAGCAGTATGACGGTTCCTTTTTTTGTTTCTTTTTTTACATCATTGTCAACACCTTAGTGTACTGTCAGATTTTGAGCCAGGTTAACTTTTTTTTTTTTAAGTTGTTGGGTTTTTATTTTTATTTTATTTTTTAATTGAAGTATAGTTGATTGACAGCATTGTGTTAATTTCTGCTGTACAGCAAAGTGATTCAGTTACACATACATACACTTTTTTTCATATTCTTTTCCATTATGGTTTATCGTAGGATACTGAATATAGTTCCCTGTGCTCTACAGTAGAACCTTGTTGTTTATCCATCCTATATATAATAGTTTGCATCTATTAGTCCCAAACTCCCAATCCATCCCTTCCTCAGTCCCCTCCCCCTTGGCAGCCACAAGTCTGTAATAGTTCTCTGAGTCTGTTTCTGTTTCGTAGATAAGTCCATTTGTATCATATTTTATATTCCATATATAAGTGGTATCATATGGTATTTCTTTCTCTGTCTGACTTACTTTGCTTAGTATGCTAATCTCTGGGTCCATCCATGTTGCTGCAAATGGCATTATTTCATTCTTTTTTATGAGCCAGATTAACTGTTTTTGTAAATTTTTAAATTGATGTATAATTGATTTATAATGTTGTGTTTGTTAATTTCTGCTGTACGCAAAGTGATTCAGTTATATATATATTAATATATATATATATACATTCTTTTTTTAATATTCTTTTCCATTATGGTTTATCATAGGTGAGCCAGGTCAACTTTTAAGAGAATTGTCTTGTACTGAATTCATGACTGAAACCCAACCCTACAGAACTGTTGCTTTGCATCCCTTACTCTGCCCATTTCCCCTCCTCCAGGGGTGGCTTGTGAACCTCGTCACGGCAGATCGTGTGTCCCCACTCCATGAAGCCTGTCTCGGAGGTCATCCCTCCTGTGCAAATATTTTATTAAAGCATGGAGCTCAGGTAAGTGCAGCTCAAATCACACCTTAGACACCGTGACTGAAAAATGACGATTTCTATCCCTTCTGAATACTTTCCAGCGTTTTTGATTAGCCTGATTTGAAATATGAAGGTTTTTCTTTTTCAAAAGTATTATGTCTGTCAAGCTTATTTACTTTAGTAGTAGATGAAATACTGCATTTTTAGCTAGAAAGTCATGGTCTGAGCCTATATCATTTTCTTTGACTGTCACTATTAATACATAGCTGTTAGATTTCTGCCTTCATTTCTGTGGCTGGAAGGTAGTGACATGTTGTAGAAAACACATAACATTTGTCTCCATAAAACCTGAATAATGGTTCCAGACCATCTCTACCATTTACTAACATTGGAAACTTGGACAGGTTACTTAGCCTGTAAGCTTTAGAGTCTATATATGAGACAAAAAAACAAACCAAAAAAAAATTATGTAGCATATTCTGTGGTATTTTGAGGATTGAGAGGGATAAGGCATGTGATTATTATTTGGAGAATGGGAATCGGGATGACATAATGAGATTCTAGAGAAGGAAGATACGAAATCATTGAATTTGAAAGTAGGGACCAGTAGATCTTCCATTAACTTAAGTACCCTCTTGGTCAGAAGTGATGGGAAAATCTGATCAGGAAATTCTGTATGGCTTTCTCATCTTTTCTCAACCAGTCTGTACTGAGCATTTATTATGTGCCTAACTCTAGATAAAGATTTTCAGGAACTTCTAAACTAAATGAGGAGACGACCAGATAAACAGGTAAATGGCGGCATGTAACACTAACTGCTTCAAAAGATAAACCCTGAAATCTCAGTAGCCTCGTATAATAAAAGTTTATTTCTTGTTCAACTCAGAATCCAGTGTGGGTGTTCCCAGTTGGGGGGCTATTTTCCGAGGGTGATTCAAGGACGCAGGCTCCTTTCATCCTCTTGCTCCACTGTCTTCAACAAGTGGCTCCCACGTGTGCTCCATTCCAGATGGCTAGAAGGGGAAAAGACATGGAGGATTGTGAATGGAAGCTTTGTAAGGGCCAGTCTTGGCAGTGACATATGTCACTTTTACTCATATCCCATTGGCCAGAATTCAGGCCATGTCTAACTGCCAGGGAGGCGGGCAAGTGTAGTATGCCTCTGCGCCCAAGAGAGAGGAAATGAGTTTGTTTAATGCACAGTATCTCAGCCACAGCAGGCAATTACAATACACTGTTTTTATCTGTTAGTTTCTTCTGTGTAACAAACCACCCTGACTTAATGACTTAAGACAGTAGCCATTTATCTCACAGTTCCTTGTGTTGTCTGGGCAGCTCTTCTGGTCTGGCTGCTTCAGCTAACCTCAGCTGGGCTTACTGAGGCATTTCAGGTTAGCTGATAGATGGGCTGGGGCAGGCTACCTCATGATGACCTTGGCTGGGACGGCTGGGAGGTCTGGGGAGACAGAAGAGCTCTACGTGGTCTCTCATCCTTTAGCAGGCGACCCGGGCCTGTTCACATGGTAGCAGGGATTCCAAGAGCAGCAAAATAGGGCGAGCTCTCTGCTTGCATCACACTTGTTAACTGTCCCATTGACCAAAGCAATTCATGTGGGCAAGCCCAGATTCAAGGATTGAAAAGACAGTCTCTGTCTTGGGATGGGAGGAGTTACTAAGCCACTCTGCAAAGGGATATGCATCCTGGGCAGAGAATCTGTGGCCATATTTTGCAAACCACTACAATGTAATAAGTATTAATAGTAAGGGGATTGTTGGGAACACATAGAAGTGTTCCTAACCTGTTTATTTCTGATGGAGAGGGGGAGTCAAAAGATGCTTCCTACAGGAAATGATGTTACAGTTGAAACCTAAAGGACCTGTTGGAGTTAGTCAGCTCAACGGTGGGTTGGGGGAAATGATGGACTTCTCACCCACTGGGAACAGCAAACGCAAAGGCCTAGAAGTGAAAGTGGGGGCTTCAAATCGTTCCTTCAAATCATTCCTTAGAGACTTCCCTGGTGGTGCAGTGGTTAAGAATCCACCTGCCAATGCAGGGGACACGGGTTCGAGCCCTGGTCCGGGAAGATCGCACATGCCGCGGAGCAACTAAGCCCATGCGCACAACTACTGAGCCTGCACTCTAGAGCCTGCGAGCCACGACTACTCAGCCTGCGCGCCTATAGTCTGTGCTCCGCAACTAGAGAAGCCACTGCAATGAGAAGCCCGTGCACTGCAACGAAGAGTAGTCCCCGCTCGCCGCCACTAGAGAAAGCCCACGTGCAGGAACGAAGACCCAACACAGCCAAAAATATATAAAATAAATAAATTTTTAAAAAACTGAAAAAGATAATTCCTTATAGCAGCAGAGTGGAGCAGGTGAGAGGGGTCAGAACACAAACAAGCTTGCCGACCAGGCCAAGAAAATGGGCTTTGTCCTGAGAGCAGCCGAGAGCCATAGATGAGTGCATCATGAGGTTTATATTTTGGTCAAGAAAACTTACCCCAAACTTGGAAACAGGCCCAGGACTAAGCAGAGGCGAGGAAGGAGCCTGGGGTGCAAACTCTAAACTCTGCCTGCTCGCAGGGTCGTTCAGCACTTTTGTAACCCTGGGAGCGAGTGTCTCCTTAAACTTTGCACCCTGGACATCTTTCATGCATCACTAGTCCTGGCCTCGCGTGGAAATAGGGCATGAGAATGACGTCCGTGTCTTCACAGTATCATCGTTTAACAGGTTCACTAAAGAATTCCTTGATAGAGGAAAATGCATCTGCATTTGGCTTTGCCCTTTGGCATTCAATTATAGCCCAAACACTGTGAAGTTAGATGTTAGCTTGTAAGTTCCGGTCTGATTTCCAGTGTTAGAAAAGATAGCCCCAACGATTATAGTTTTATGGCCCTATAGGATATTAACCAGTTTTGTATCTATTAGCAAATTTATTTCAGCGTTGCATTGACTGACTATATAAATTCTCCTTTTAGCCGTCCTTGCCATTTTACTGGTTCCCTCATTAATGAATGAGCTGAATAAAATCTTTGGCTTGTGTTCACTCTATGTTTGGATGAAAGTGATGTTTTTAAATTTATTTATTAATTTATTTTTGGCTGTGTTGGGTCTTCGTTGCTGTGCATGGGCTTTCTCTAGTTGTGGCGAGCGGGGGCTACTCTTTGTTGTGGTGCGCGGGCTTCTCATTGTGGTGGCTTCTCTAGTTGCGGAGCACGGGCTCTAGGAGCGCGGGCTTCAGTAGTTGCGGCACGCGGGCTCAGTAGTTGTGGCTTACGGGCTCAGTAGTTGTGGCTCGCGGGCTCAGTAGTTGTGGCTCGTGGGCTCTAAAGCGCAGGCTCAGTAGCTGTGGCGCATGGGCTTAGTTGCTCCGCGGCATGTGAGATCTTCCCGGACCAGGGATCGAACCCGTGTCCCCTGCATCGGCAGGTGGACCCCCAACCACTGTGTCACCAGGGAAGTCCCGAAAGCAATATTTTTAAATTGAAAAAAAAGAATACATTAACAATTTTAAAAGGTTACTCTAACTTCTGTGGGGAAATTGGATTGGGGTGGGATGGGTCTAGGATGGCATGTTTAAAATAAGGTGATTAGTGGGAATTTCCTGGCCGTCCAGTGGTTAGGACTGCACACTCCCACTGCAGGGGGCACGGGTTCAATCCCTGGTCTGGGAACGTTCTTGGTGCATTACATTCTATACCTCATCTGGTTTTTCACAGCAGCTTTGGGGAATCTGTTATTTTTTGTCCCCGTTTTGTAGCTGTGGAATTTAAGGCTCAGACAAGTGTAATAATAGCTTGAAAATGGTGAAGCTTAGGTCTGAATCCAGGATACCCCACTGCTCGCCTTCATGCTGGAGCTTTTCTTTCTAGGTGAATGGTGTTACTACAGACTGGCATACTCCCTTGTTTAATGCTTGTGTCAGCGGCAGCCTGGACTGTGTGAATTTGCTTCTGCAGCATGGAGCCAGTCCCCACCCTGAGAGTGATCTGGCGTCCCCCATGCACGAAGCTGCTAAGAGAGGTAAATCTGTTGAGAATTTAAGTTTTCCACTTGTCCGTTGTTTCCTTCAAGGGACATCTTATGATTGAAGGGAAGAGGGAAAAGGAGGTATATGGAGCAGTTGTTCTCAATGTGTGGATCCTGGGACCAGAAGCATCAGCCTGACCTGGCATGCAAGTGCAGATTCTTGGGCCCCATTCCAGACCCAGTGAATCAGTAACTTTGGGGGTGGGGTCCAGCCATCTGTGCTTTGTTTAACAGGCCCTCCAGGTGATTTCTGATGCACAGTAAGTTTGAGGAGAACCCTTTTAGAACATTTGGAATATTGTTCACTGCTGTGTTTCCAGAACAGGGCCTGGCATATAGTAGACTGTCCATCAGAATGTGTGGAATGTGTTGTTGAACTCATGACCCCATAAAGTCAAGTTATTTTATAAAACAAATTATAGTCTTCTGTTTTAAGGCCTTAAAGAATATTGTCTCAGGGCCGCCTAAGTTTGCTAAGTGAAACAAACTTTCAATTTTTGGAAATATAAGATGTTATATACAGTTTGGGGTAAGTCTCCCCATCCCCATGTTTGTTGAGGTATAATTGACAAATAAGATTGTATATATTTAAGGTGTACAGTGTGATAACTTGATATACGTATACATTGTGAAAGGATAACCGTAATCAAGCTAATTAACACATCCATTGCCTCATATAGTTACCTTTTTTTTGTGGTGAGAACATTTAAGATCTACTCCTGTAACAAATTTAAAGTACAGTATATATATAATTTTTATTTATTTATTTATTTATTTTTTTTGCTGTACGCGGGCCTCTCACTGTTGTGGCCTCCCCCGCTGCAGAGCGCAGGCTCCGGACGCGCAGGCTCAGCGGCCATGGCTCACGGGCCCAGCCGCTCCGCGGCATGTGGGATCTTCCCGGACCGGGGCACGAAAATTTAAAGTACAGTATATATATAATTTTTATTTATTTATTTATTTATTTTTTTTGCTGTACGCGGGCCTCTCACTGTTGTGGCCTCCCCCGCTGCAGAGCGCAGGCTCCGGACGCGCAGGCTCAGCGGCCATGGCTCACGGGCCCAGCCGCTCCGCGGCATGTGGGATCTTCCCGGACCGCCGCACGAACCCGCGTCCCCTGCATCGGCAGGCGGACTCTCAACCACTGCGCCACCGGGGAAGCCCAGTATATACATTATTGACTGTAGTCACGATGCTGTACATTAGATCCCCAGAACTTATTCATCTGGGATAATTCTTTTCGTAAAGTCACAGTTTTCCTGCTATTCTTAACTCTGAGACAAAAAATAAAATTGTAAGTTTTGCTTTTCTCTGATATTTCGCCTCCTCCTTGACATCATGATGACCGTCCCTTGCCCCGAGGGCTATTTCCGCAGTGCCTTCACAAAATAGCTTCCCCTCATCTTTGCAGCAGCCCCATTTGACTGGATCCACCCGTATTATAATTATCTCCCAAAGCACTGGCATTTCTTCACGAGGAGACATGTTAACTCATCATATTCACTGGACACATAGAACTAAAATGGTGTAACAAGATAAATGCAAAGGAGCAGTGTTTCAAGTATGATGTCCTAGACCAAGGAAGAGTGATTCTGCCTTCACCAAACCTAGTTGGCCACACTGGGCCTCACTCACGTTGGATTTGGCGCCTTCTTCTAAGCCTCGCCTGTGCCCACCGTGGCCTGTTTGTCCCAGGGCTTGCCCTTGGTGAGGTTGTAACTTTCCTTCCCTGTTCCACGGTCCGCTCTGTGCCCTTTCTTCTCCAGGTCCACCTTTAGTCCTTGTTGTTCCATATCTCTCCTCAGCGCTCACTTTGATTTCTGTAATCAGACTGATTACAGAGCCACCAACAATTGAAAAAGGTGGCTGGCTGCTCGTTGCTTACCGTGGCTGGCAAACTCAAGTGGAGTTCCACCCAGAGCTACGGACGCCGTCTTATAGTCAACCCATTAACTGGTGGCAGTGTTGGAGACCATTCCCTATTCTAAGTAGAGGAAATAGCTTTTGGTCGCTGGATAAGTTGTTGGAAAATTTAAACACACAGAAAGTGGGCGAGGTGGTGTTTCCCTAGCTACGAGAATTTGTGCTGTAACTGTTTTCTCCCACTTTGGGCTGCAGGCCACGTGGAGTGCCTTGAGTCTCTTGTGGCTCATGGGGGCGACGTTGACCGTAACATCAGCCACCTGGGCACACCGTTATATTTGGCTTGTGAAAATCTGCAGGTGGCCTGTGCCAAGAAGCTTCTGGAATCAGGTAAAACCAAAAGCAAAACATAACAAGGAAAGTAAATGAAAAGTAAATTAAAGGTATCTGAAAGCTCTTTCTATTGTAGCAGAGGAAAGAGCGCGGGCAATGGAGTCGGACTGGATCAGAGTTCGTATTGACTTTGTTTCCGTGGGGAGTTAGTTTAAACTGTTTCAACTTTAGTCCTCTCACTTGTAATGAGAATAGTGATAATAATGATAATGGTGATGACGTCTCCCAGGATGGTCCTCAATGATTATTAGTTTCTCCTCCCTCCCTCTGGCCATTGATATTATTAGGCCCTGAGTAACTTGCACAGCTGCTGGATTAGGGCTGAACCTTCAGATGTGGGGCCGCCTTCACCAGTTCTCTTTGATTCGGAAATAGAACTTGTCCCATTTTTAGTCCATTGTAAATATTATATTTTTGAAAAGTCGTAGGTCGCATCATTCTTTTTCACCGTTTCCTGCTGTTATCCAGCCCCTTCTTCAACACTGGCGATACCACGTCATCACCTCTTTAGTTGTCTGAGTCTTGGTTATTCTTTAAAAACCCAGTAATCTTACCCTGCACTGAATGCTCTTACGGTTCCCATTGCCTTCTACTCACTTGGCAGCCATTACCATGAATTAGGAGATTGGTTCTCTCTCTCCTTCTCTCCCTCTCTTTCTTCTATTACCCTAGGTGGATTTTAAGCTCCTAGTCAGGAAAGGGCCATGTTTGGCATCCCTCACAAAGCTAAGACCAATACAAGAACAATTCAGTTAACATTTGTTGACTGGACAGAGATTCCCATTTTACTAGAGGGACAGCAGCCCAGGCAAAGTCATATGTCCCCACACATCACAGCGGGAGCCAGCATCTGGACTGGGGTAGGGATTTGTTGAGAGTGTAAGGATGGAACTGGGTGGGGGTGGTCCTCGAATTCTACCTTATCCCCGAAGAGGAGGGCTTTGCCACCTTCCCTGTGATCTTGGGATTGGCCACCCCAATCTAGGCAATGCTGCCATAATTGATTGCCCTTCACAGTCCAAATCACATGGTCCCAAGTCTCTGGTTTAAACCTCACGGCAGTTGCTCGGCGTGTAAATGTGGATAATTGCCATAGATGAGATTTCACCATCTAGCCTCACTTCCGGCCTGTACTGGCTAATATTTGGGCTCCATTAATAATGAATGTGCAGCTTTCATGCCACCAGGATTCTTCTTGCATGTGTCACACCTGTGTAGAGCGCTCCAAGGCAAGATTTTCAACCTCATATGTCACAGAGCTCCTGTGGTACATTCAGTCACATTGTCAAGTGGCATTTTCCCCATATTATTAAATGGAATCAAGTCATCTCCTGTCTTCTCAGGAGAACTACTGTGCCTACTGTGGATGCCCTTTTGTTAGGAAATTTTGAGGTGCGGTGCTTTGAGAAGGGGGTGCTTGCACTCTGCTGACTCTGACTCTGTTGTTCTCGTGACTGTTTAGGAGCGAGCGTGAACCAAGGCCGGGGGCTGGATTCCCCTCTGCACGCGGTGGCCAGGGCGTCCAGTGGGGAGCTGGCCTGCCTGCTCATGGACTTTGGAGCAGACACCCAGGCCAGGGATGCTGAAGGCCACCGTCCCTTGGAGCTGGTGCCTCCAGAGAGCCCCCTGAGCCAGCTCTTCTTGCAGAGAGAAGGTGCTTCTTTGCCTGAATCTAAGCCCTAATCCATAGACTTCTGTGGGCTCTAGCAGGAGGCAGGTACTTACCGAGTTCTGACTTTGGGTCTTATGAAAAAGATTGTGCTCTGCCTTCACGAAACGTGGGGAGCTGAGACACTTTAGTATTCAGCAATGTACAGTACTGGTTATATAATAAATAACCATCCTGCTCTTTGGCATGTTGGAGGCAGGCTGTTTGGATGATCTAATGTTCGTATGTGGGATAGGCCAGCTTTCAAAAGAATTAAGATATTGTTTTAAAATGTTAAAGTTACCTAAGACATGCTGTATTTAAAAAAAAATTTTATTGGGGTATAGTTGATTTACAATGTTGTGTTAGTTTCAGGTGTACGACATGCTTTATTTTTTTTTAAATTTATTTTATTGAAGTATAGCTGATTTATAATGTTGTGTTTATTTCTGCTGTACAGCAAAGTGACTCACTTATACATATACATTCTTTTTCGTATTCTTTTCCGTTATGGTTTATCACAGGATACTGAATATAGTTCCCTGTGCTATACAGTAGGACCTTGTTTATCCATTCTATACATACTAGTTTGCATCTGCTAACCCCAAACTCCCAATCCATCCCTCCCCACCCCCCTCCCCCTTGGCAACCACAAGGCTGTTCTCTATGCCTGTGAGTCTGTTTCTGTTTTGTAGATAAGTTCACTTGTGTCATATTTTAGATTGCACATATAAGTGATATAATAGGGTATTTGTAAGCCATGCTTTAGAGAGATGCAGCAGAAGGGTCTTTGGGGTTGTACAATGTCCCAGGATGTCTTACTGTAGTACAGATGGGCTGAACTACTGGGCATTTGGCTTCTGGGATGGGGGTAAGAATGCAACTCACTGAGTATTACACAGTATTACTTGCATGATGCACAGCAATCGGGAGACATTTACTATTGGCTTGGCCAAAAAAGTTCGTTCGGGTTTTCCGTGACATCTTATGGAAAAATCCGGACGAACTTTTTGGCCAATCCAATATAATAAGTTAATCAACACTGAGTCCATACTCCTCTATGAATAAAAGCTGACACTCCTGACCCAAACCACTAAACACTGGGGTTGAGCAGTGTGCAAGGGGGTAGGGGCACTTCCCTGGGCTGCGAGGTCACAGGTGGGCTGGGGTGGGGAGCAGAGACCCCTCAGATTGCATTCTTAATTGTCCCTAGAGGTGGAGAGCAGCCAGCTCAGGACCTGCTTTTTTTTTTTTACCCGAGTGTGGACTTTGTTGAGTCTTAGGGGTTGTGGGAGTTTGAAGCAGGCTTCCCTACCAGAAGGATTCTTTTCTTCATTTTTATTTATTTTTATTTTTTATTTTATTTAATTAATTTATTTTTGGCTGCATTGGGTCTTCGTTGCTGAGCACGGGCTTTCTCCAGTTGCGGGGAGCGGGGGCTACTCTTTGTTGCGGTGCGCGGGCTTCTCATTGCGGTGGCTTCTCTTGTTGTGGAGCACGTGCTTAGGTGCGTGGCTCAGTAGTTGTGGCGCACGGGCTTAGTTAGTTACTCCATGGCATGTGGGATCTTCCCAGGCCAGGGTTCGAACCCGTATCACCTGCACTGGCAGACGGATTCTTAACCACTGTACCACCAGGAAAGTACCAGAAGGATTCTGATGTCATGTAATCTGGATATTGTCTCCCCACGTGGGCAGAATTGTAAAGTGGCCCCTGAATCCTTCTTTCTGCTACACCCACTGCCCCAGCGTACTTGTGGCCATGGCCTGCCTTGGGGCCCCCCAAACAAGGCCTGTGCTCCCCGAGCCAAGGCACAAGGAACAGTCCAATAGAAACCCCTTTATGAGAAGCAGTGGGGTCACCCCTGGGCAACTCTGCCCGTACTTTGACAATTTCTTGTTTTCAAAACATTGTATCTCTGTAGACGGGGCCGATTTCTCCAGCAGGCACAGATGGCACAATGCGTGGGGTCCACCATGTTTTTAGGGGCCCGCAGAAATGTTTTAATTTCTTTTAAAATCAGAAGGAAAAACAATGAATAAAACTCAACCTGGGTTATATTCATCTTTATGCTGGCACTGGTCCCTGACATTGTATCTAGCACAAGTGATTAGTAACTTCCTTCAAAGTGCCTTAGTGAGAGGAGATTGAGTTCAGTTGCCCCACACTATGCCTTTTGCAGCTCGTTAATAAATGCTTTGAGCACACGGGGAAATCCTTCATTAATATACGCCTTGAGTACACTGAACATATCTGGAAGGTGCCCTAAATTTCAACAGGGACCTTCTGAATGTGCTCTGAGGACCTGATTGAAAATATTTCCGTTCTTGCTTTCCTTGTACATATGTCTGTTTCTACCTCTCCTTGTTTTCCATCACCTGAGAAGTATGCCACCCACTTTATCCTGTAGCTTGCGGTGATGCTATAGGAAATTGAAGCCGAATCCGGCCTCTGTACCCCGACACCGAATTACATCTCGGAGACAGAGTTCTGGGTGAAGTAGAAAAGAACAGCTTTATTGCTTTGCCGGGCAGAGCAGTGGACTAATGCCCTCGAAACTGTGTCCCGACCTGGAGGGACTAGTGAGTTTTATCGTAGTGGTTCAAAGAGGGCGTGATCAGCTCGTGGACGTTCTTCTGATTGGCTGGTGGGGAGGTAAGTGGGCGTCAGCATCATCAACCTTCTGGTTCCACCTGGTCTGGGGTCTACGTGCTTGTGGGCAGCATGCAGTTAACTTCTCCCACCTGGCGGGGGTTTCAGTATCTGCTAAACAGCTCAAAGATATTGTTATGTTTGTGTGTCCCTTGAGGGGAACCAGGACCCTGCCCCAAGGCGGCAATGTTGTTTCTCTTGACTGTTGCTCCCTTGTCTCCGCATCCCCTCCCTTCCCTAATGAGCATCGGTTTGACCCTGCTCCTTGGAACTCAGGGAAGGTCAGGGAGGCTGACTGAAGCCTATTTCCTGTAATCATCAAGAAATGGCGGCAGGGGGCTTCCCTGGTGGCTCAGTGGTTGAGAGTCCGCCTGCCGTTGCAGGGGACACGGGTTCGTGCCCCGGTCCGGGAAGATCCTACATGGCGTGGAGCGGACGGGCCCGTGAGCCATGGCCACTGAGCCTGCGCGTCCGGAGTCTGTGCTCCGCAATGGGAGAGGCCACAACAGTGAGAGGCCAGTGTACCGCAAAAAAAAAATAAGGGGGACACGGAAGGGCTTTTGTGCCCTGGAGTCCCCCAGGGTCCTGCTTGGTATCAAAGTTAGAGGCCACTGTACCCTTTTGGTTGCATTCTCAACCCTGGCCACACAATACAGTGACCTGGGACACGTGCCTTTACAAAAACGAGATGCACAGGCCCCACCCAACAGTAACTGAAGCAACATCCCTGGGGTGGAGTTTAAAGCTCTCCCCCACCCCCCAGTCAGGCTTGAGGGCTGCTGCTTTATGGGATTCTTGAAGGTATACAGCTTTGCCTTTTAAAAAGTTTTTAATAACCAAAAGGGAATTCCCATTACAATTTAGTGCAGGGGCTGGGGATGGGAAATCATTTCCCATCTTTTTACCCTATGACAGGGTTTTTCAAGCTCAGCACTATTTACATTTTGGGCCAGATGGGGGCCATCCTGTCCTGTGCACTGTAGGATGTTTAGCAGCATCCCTGTCATCCACCCACTAGATGGTAGTAGCAACCCCCCCCCCCCACCCCCGCCA